GGAAGAGCTGGAAGAAAGTCACATCTTTCAAGCTGGCTTTGAAACACCCAACATTTTGGCTTTGCCATTAACCCTCAGCTAATGGAGATGCAAGTTTTGCTCTGCACAAGAAAAAGCTAAGGTTTAGCAGTTAATAATCACAAGGAGTTTCTTCAGCACCCACTGGTACTACACAAACTGACTCACTGTGTCATGTGAGCAGCTGCTACTCCCCCTGCCCCTTTTAAGCTTTGAAATACCAGGATGAAAATCTGATTTTTGAATGGGCCTCATGGTAACAAATAAGGAAACAGCCATACGTTTTAGCCTGAAGTCAGGTTGATTTCTTCCCAAGAAAAGCTTTAAAAGGGACAGTAACTACTTCAAAAGTTCACACACACTTCTGTGAACTTGGTTTTCCCTCCTGCTCACGTATTTCACAGAAAATATTTAAGTGCCTTCTCACAACAGCACAGAAAAACCTGAGGTGTGCAGAGATAAAGGTTGCCCGCCCCAAGAAACACAGATGTAGCAGGAGAAGAAGGAACAATTTACAAAAAGGACTAGATCAACCAGCAGGAAGAAGCACTAACTGTTGTTTTGTGGACATACCTTGCTCTTCTAAATAGCCAAGAAGTCTCTTTCCAACAAATTATATGTCACACAACAATCAGAACAGGCTGATACAACAATCAAAACCTCTGGGTTACTCTAAGATGAAAAATGAACCTGTGGCCCAACAGGTAAAGGTGATTGCTTCAGACCACTGTTTACTGGTTTTGAATAGAAGACATCAAGAACAAGTGTTGGTAACAGGGCACTTACCTTACAAACAGACATGATGTTGATGTTGATCAGTTTGTCAATTGCCTACAAGAAAACAAAGTCTTGGGTTTTGTTCTAAGTTATTTGATCAACATTTTACACACCCTCTGGGTTTAAGTGCCAGGATAATTTAAACCTTACACTTATACATCCACCTTTACTCCTTCCCTTCCTGCTTAAGCATCAGGAACAAGGACAGACTTGCAAAGCAAAGTCTGTGAATGGCTCTTGGTCAAGTTTTGTCTCTGATGAGGGACATATAGGTGTCACACTGACACTGTATTTCCTAAACCTGTTTGCAATATTTATGAACTTTAATAAATTCTGATATTTTAGACATGTTCATAAATTAACATCCATAATTTGCTTTTCACCATCTCGTAACTGTTTTAGTGACTTAAAAGTTTATTCATCAGTTAAAAAAAATAAGATTTTTTTTGCCTAACATTATGATGCTTATTTGAAGGTGACCCAAAACCCAGATACATTCCTCAATACTCAGGCAGAAAGCACAAAACCACAGTTGACACAGTGAGCTAAAGGGGCTGTGGGAACAAAATGCACCACTGAAATTGTCCAGAATCAGAGTTTTCAACGCAACCAAGATCGTCCCTACGTTACGAACTGTCATATTTAAGTTTCCTAACAGTGTTATGGAATATGCAGCTTCCATTCATGAACTTGCTTGCTTCCCTTCAGCCACTTAAACCTGCCCCACGAGCTAAAGCCGCTCATGAGCAACAGCCAGATGAGACCGTGGACATGAGTGGAATTCAGATACTGACCCGAGAGCATCTGTCTGAAATGGAAATAAAAAATGAAGAAGCAAGGAACAGTGTAAGTTAAAAAAAAAAAAAAAAAAATAAAAAAAACCAACACCACAAAAAGGTGAGGCTGCCATCATCTGAACTGTGTTATGTAAACCTCTCCGCTTTCTGAACCCTTAGTTCTGATCAAAAAGCCTCATTATGTGAGTGACGTAAGCAAACCTAAATACTTTCACCATATCCACTAAGCATTCAGTACTAAAAATGAGCACACTACAAGGTACAATAAAAGCACTTACTTCATCCAGGTCTGGAACATCAAGAAAATATTCAGGATAAGAATACGACATTCCCACATTGTTGACTGAAACGAAAGCGTGAATCTTCAATTAGATTGTTTGGATGACACCTGGTTTCTCACGCTCTGATTAATGACAATTTTCAAGCAATACTCTTAAACTGCACGTATACGTGGAACATGAGAGTGAACACACAAACCATTTTCAACGTGGAAATGTTAATTCTCCAGTTGTTTAAAAGCTGGCACGTTTAGCACATTGCACCCGTCTCCCACTGCTTTTCCCAGCGCCGGGGAAGAACGTTTCCCCTTTTTCGGAAATGTCAGCGCACGCCGTGCAAGCGCACGGGCAGCATCGCTGCAACATGGACTTCTGCAGCGCTGCCGAAACGGAGCTTCAGGTCAAAGAAAAGCTCTCAGTGCCTGGCAAGGTCCTGCACGTGGGTCGGGACAATCCCAAGCACAAGTACAGGCTGGGTGGAGAATGGATTGAGAGCAGCCCTGAGGAAAAGGACTTGGGGTGCTGGTGGATGAGAAGCTCAACATGAGCCGGCAATGTGCGCTGGCAGCCCAGAAAGCCAACCGTGTCCTGGGCTGTATCCAAAGCAGCGTGGGCAGCAGGGCGAGGGAGGGGATTCTGCCCCTCTGCTCTGCTCTCCTGAGACCCCACCTGGAATACTGTGTTCAGCTCTGGGGTCCCCAACACCAGAAGGACATGGAGCTGCTGGAGCGGGTCCAGAGGAGGCCACGAAGATGATCCGAGGGCTGGAGCACCTCTGCTATGGAGACAGGCTGAGAGAGTTGGGGCTGTTCAGCCTGGAGAAGAGAAGGCTCTGGAGTGATCTCAGAGCAGCTTTTCAGTACCTAAAGGGGCTACGA